TGTACGCCGCCGGCTTCGGATACTACGGTCGCGACAGACCGGGCGGCGACGGCGCCGACAGACACGGCGGCGTCGGCAGGCAGCGCGACTTCGCGGGCGACGTCTTGCCTCCGTACTTCTCGGCGTTCTCCGTCTCGCCGATGTCGTCGCCGACGACCGTCGTCGCCTCAGCGTCACACGACTACATCGCTGGTGGGGGAGGAGGAGGAGGAGGAGGAGGGTACCCGTACATGTCGTCAGGTTATCACGCGCCGACGCTGCCGCCGGGGTGGACGGTGTCGCCTGTCGGCAGTCCGACGCTGGGCGAGCGGTCGACGGACGGAGACCGACAACTGTGGAGTATCCCAGGTAAGCGGTAAATTATCGACGCTATATTGTTATTCGTCTATTCGGGATATTATAGTAGTAATTATCAGTTATCACTGCTATTCCCTACTGTTAGCAATTATCAAAGAGTTTTATGCACTAGTTAGTCATAATTAAAGATATATTAAAATAGATTGCAGTCTCCTGGTATTCCCGGTACCAGTATAGTCTCCTATATATCTCCTACTAGACCTATCGTTCGTGACGGTCACTTACCTGGGTAAGAGTGAAATTGTAATAGATAAGGATTAGAAAAGGTAATTCTTTTCTTAGAAAAGAAGCAAAATTATATAAACACTCTAAGTAGTGTTGTTATTAACAGATATAAAAACGTGTTTCATATGTATATTATTAAACAGGAAATAAAGATATACAATGAATATCATATTCAAGAAATACCAACGAAATGATCGATGTTAGTATGATATCGAATAACGTAGGGCCTAGATACAAATACATATATAAATAAATACATCAATAAATATATATATATATATATATCGAAATAAACGAAATAAACGTATAGTTTACGTCGATGACAAAGGAGCTTTATATTATAAACCTGCTTAAAATTACACGGAAATTAGATATAGACTAATATAATAATAAATAACAGTAAATAATGTCTAGAAAACTTGTTTTACTGATATATTCATAAACCTGCAGCAGACCAGCGGAAATTATATACACGCGGAAATAATATTAAACTGTATTATCAAGTTGCACGTGTTTCGTCTAAATATTCATGAACGTGCAGAAAACACAGGAAAACAAGAGACAGTATCAACTGTACGTTAAACCAGTTAATAATGGCCGGATATTTTATTTACTTGAACATTATTAAAATTGTAATAGACGCGGATAAATATTACATAAGCTCTAATTGAATAGTAAACCACTTGTATTTAAAAAGTATTATATGCTTAATATTGCTATTAACCTAAATTAAAACTACAAATTAAATTGTGTCATCACATACTGATGTACATAGAAATAAATAAAAATGATATCGTTACTAAGCAATTATTGATAGCGTAAAACAATCTAGAAATATTTTCCGTGTTCCCGTTTCGCATTTGGAACCGTCTAACATTATATTAAATATTTTTAAACAATTATAATAAGTACTCTTTTATAACTACTTAAATACGTCACCTTAATTCTCACCTTGATATATCACAGGTAAATAGCTACATATGTCGTGTTTACTGTAAGCAATCGTTGATGTTCACTAGTAAGATTCCTTGTACAAAAATTCGATAAAATGTTGTCTTAGCTATAAAAGATCGCGCGCGCAATATATATATATATATATATATATATATATATATATATATATATATATATATATATATATATAGTTATATATATTATTATATATTATATTATATTATATTATATTATATTATATTATATTATATTATATTATACCGCGTGTGAACTTTTATATTTACGGAAACCCTTACCTTTATTTTCCTTTTTGTATTGAATTATTTTTACATCTTTGTTACTAATGCTCGTGTATTTACTTGTATTACCTTGTGAATTTCGATGCTTGGCAGTAAAGTCACAATATCTAATATTGGGCAATGCAGTTAGGTTTCGAAGTATATTCGTGTTTGCGTGAATAGGTATCTAACGACTATATAAACGATCCGCCCGTCGCAGTACAAATACGAATAGAACAAGTATAAAGGAGGACACTGCATCTATTCTATTGAGTATACAATGTCCTATTAAAATATTTAATAATTGTTAATTGGTAGTTAATAGTTTAAGAATTATGCCAATCTATAAGAAATATGTAGACGAGTATTAAAAATAAGCAAAAATTGCCACGCACCATGCACACACGCACGCACGCACACCCACACGCACGCATGCACATGCACGCACGCACACACGCACGCATGCACATGCACGCACGCACACACGCACACAAACACACACACACACACACGCACGCATGCACATGCACGCACACACACACACACACACACACACACACACACACA